AGAAATTCAAACGAGTTTTTTTAAAAACATTGGACTACGATTCCTGAGAGGGTGTTTTATGGGCATTCTTAGAAATGTCATACTTAATAGAGCAAAAGTTTGAAACTGTGTACTATTTAAGAATGTCACATTTTTCATTTAGCAATTAAAAAGATATAATTTCTGCATGGAGAGAATTATGAATACAATTTAGAAAAGTACTTTCATCAAAATATATGGTTTCTCTCAAAATTCTCATCTTTTTGCATTACAACGGGAGGAAACTACTAATTAGTTGTTTTTGTGATTTACATTTATGAAGAAGAGATAACAGAAAGCTGAAATAAAAAGAAAATATTGGAAATTTCCAATAAATGTTTTGAAACAAATGATCTTACTTGGACACAATTTGGTTTGCTCTGATGTACACTCTATAACAAAACAAAAAAAAAAAACGACGCACCAAGAAGGAGTTGACCGATTGTAATAAAATTTCGAATACAAAGACTTTTGTACCGAACATCCAAGTGATTAAAATTTGATGTCCAATGAATGAATAGCGGGAGTTATAGCGCATCAGAACTGCGCAAGGAGGAGGTGTCTATAAGAAGCGATTCTCAATCCGAATGTCAACATTTCTGTTGCAGTGCAAATTAGGATACCTTTCAACGACTGAAAAAGGGCTTCACCGTAGGATTCGAGCTCAATACGAGCAACTGTCAGAGTTTGAAAGAGATCGTATTATTGAATTGAAAGCGGCAGGTTAGGCAAACTGGAGAATCGCTCGTCATACGGGTCGAAGCGATGCAGCCATTAGAAGATGCTCGCAAGAATGGGTGGGCAGTAGTAGATTTCAGTTTCATAATAGTAGCGGTCGACTTAGAGCCACATCAGATCGGGAGGACAGATTGATTGTCAGATCAGCTGTTAGAACGCCTGATTCATCGTTCTCAACCATCAGACGTGCTACCCGCACACGAGTGTCCACCATGATCATTCACAGACGGCTGATAGAGCGAAATTTACGCTCGTATAGACCTCTATGCCACCTGCCACTCACGACTGCTCACTACTGAGCCAGTTTACAGTGGTGCTTGGCTGTATTAGGTCGAAATCATGCTGAATGGAGACGTATAGTGTTTAACGACGAATCTCGATTCCAAATGTGTCCTGACGATCATCGAAGACGTGTCTAGAGACGCCCAAGGCAGCGTGCCGATCTTGCTTTCACTATTGCACGACACACAGGCCCTCAACCAGGAGTTATGGTCTGAGGTGCCATTTCCTTTGACAGCCGGACCCTTTTGGTCGTAATTAGAGACACACTTACAGCACAGCGGTACGTCGACGACATTCTGAGAACTGTTTTGCTACAATTCATTTTGCAGTACTCTGGCCTGTTTTCAGAATTAACTTCAGGAAATAATAAACATTACTTGTCATTTAAAAACTTCATTTTCCAAAACATGCTAAAATTGGAAAAATATTTTTGAAAAATGATCGAAAAATTTCCAAATAAAGGGGGAATTATGATCTTTTTTTTTAATACTTATAATTTCAATATTTCCTTAAATGAAGAATAACAGATAACTTATGTTTCAAGCTACGAAACTCCGCTCATTCTATTTAAGCCTCATTGACTAACAAACACTTTGGTTATCGTATGGAAACAAATATGTTTATCTGAAGAAAATGAAAATAATATTTTGATTTGGTTTGGATATACCTACTTTCAAAATTAGTTTCCATTAAAACAAAATATCAGTCTCAATTTTGATCCAGAAAATTATTCACAAGTTGCGATTTCCAATACAGATTGATTGCATGTTAAAATCGAACTATGAAGCAGCACGTGGTTCAAAATTACAAAAGCAATTGATGACGGATCTCGTAATTTTAAGTCGTGATCCAATATCCAAACATGGAACCACATAAGATCTTTTTTTAAAACCCATTTTTCATATTGAATTCTCATGGTGTGAAATTCTTCAGTGTTTTTCATTAAAATTTACTTATACTAATAAGAATCCACATTGCTTCATAAAACATTATGTGTTTTATTCAAAGCTAAGCAGAAACATAATCATAAATAGGGTGTCATTTTTTGTGTGAAAAACAGCATATTAAGATTAGAGATGATTATTTTCCTTATAATAACAAGGATTCCATTCTAGGATTAAAACTAAAAGAAAAAGAAATTCGAGAAAAGCTATATTCCTGTCTAAAGAACGTAGGGGTATCATAAAGTAAGGTAACAAGCTCATTCAGAGCAAGCGTTTATTCAAGAAATAAAAATATGTATATACAAAATAAGATGGCACAGGTACATATTACTTCTCTACATAAGCACCATACTTAACTCTACATAAGCACCATACTCACATAAACATTTGTTCCATCGGTACACCAAACCATCGAAACCAAAATCGTAGAAACCCGAGTCAAGGTTGTATAATCCCGTCAAAATGGCTTACTGAAACTCAGCAATGGTTATGAAATGCTCACCTACTAAGTGTTTCTTTAAATGCCCGAAGAGATAAGAAATATCTTGGTGCGAGGACGGAAATGTAAGGTGAGTGGTGTAATACTTTCCACCGAAAAAAGCTCTTTCTTCATCTCGTACATTTGTTCTGCCATTATCAAATCCCGTGCTCTAAAACTACAACTGCCTTCGTGACATAACACTTGTACTGTACATTTCTACCAATTGCCGATTTTTTCACAGCTGGAAGATTTTTATTTAAATGCAAAAACCGTATCAAACTTCTTATTTTAATCGCGGACCCTGTTTCTATCTGCAGCCCCTTTCTAACTGATATTTAATCATGTTACTGAAGAACCAGCACCATCTACCGGCACCATTTGAATGATTTGATCGTCTTTGTAATCTTCAGAGGGACTTTTATTCATACGGGTAATTTGGAAAACTGAAACCCAGTGGTTGAGGGGTAATGCATTGCGCTTCCACATCACAGGTCCGAAGTTCAAACCTTGGTCTGGGCAAGGTAAAACTTAGCCTTTTATCCCTTCCGTGGGTCGATAAAGGAGTACCAAGCTTACTTGGGAACTGAACACTGGGTTTTTTTTTCACGTCAGACTGATCACCTGATCAGAACATATGCTCATGCACCTCACCTCAGGGCCCAAGGTCACGTATACTGTTATGGACAAAGGGGGCCTTGGCCCTCATGGGCTGTAGCACCACTGAGTTAATTTAGAAACTAACTAAAGCTCTTGTTACCTTTCTTTCTGAAAAATCTACGTACTTCCGTACCAATTTAAGCTCATTTTGAACTCTGGGGGCAGAAGAATTACAGGGACCCTTGGGACTAGAGGATCGAAGTTTATAACCCAAAGTCTGGTTAAGTCCAGCTTTTTCGGGCTCTTCCGGACCCCTCCGGGCCCCGGTCTTCAATAGATAACCAGGATAACGTACATTCATAAAGTTTTAAAACAAAAAAAATCAGCAAGACTGACGTTAGCGGAATTATTCTTCTCAGAGATATTTTAATCCAATTAAAATATTTGAAGATGTCACTCACAGATTTCCCTTGAATATTTCCACTTAAAGTTCAGACAATAGCTTATAATCCAACGTATAATAATATTAAAAGATACATCATAATTATGAAGGCCATCTTGCAAAATGTGAAAGGTTTAAGGCTATTCAGTTAACGAAAACTGATTCGTCACGAATCAATTCATGCGTTTCAATCATCAGATCAGAACTCCTGATTGAATGACATTAATACATCTATTCACAGTTGACGGTTTATTGCTGATAAAATTATTTTTAAAATGACATTCAATGAAATTATAGGCGAAGCAACCTTTCCTTGTGTGATCTGCAATTAAAAAGAATAATATTTGGAGACTGTATATGTGAATGTTCAAGAATTCATTCCAACGTTGTTTTTTCATACGACGTTTTGACTGGATTGCGTGATGGTTCATTGTAAGTACGCGATTATAAACAGTTTAATAGCATCAGTAGTCGAATATAATTGGCGCTTATAAAAAATAAATATTTAATTTTTAAATATGAATGCAAGATAAAAGAAATATATATGTAATGCTAGTTCTAGTAGAATTTTATAAAAAAATTAAGCAGCACAGATGATTACCAGAAAATTAAAAAGAAAAAAAAAAGGATGCAGATACTGACTTAGGATTTTGTCAAAAATTATTTGACATATTTCTTTAAGCTAATGATATTTAAAGAAGTTAAACTACCGCCTTTGTTCAAATTTAAGATGCATTTTTTTTTCTAATAATGCTACTGAGAGAAAGAGAAAATCTGATTTCACTCAGAATCGAACACGGGAAAGTTCGTTGGTCGGAGCAAATTAAACATGATACTTAGGATTAGAACAATGACAGGTTTATGTACGCATTTAAAAGATTTTAAAAATCATAAAATAAATTAATTAATCACTTACTAGATCTGAATTTAATTTATTTTTTAATTTCGTAAATATCGGATACCGAGAAGGCAGCATTTTACATTTTTTTCTTTAAAATTATGTTGACAATTTTTGAGGAATGATTTAAATAGATGGTGGCTTAGATTCGAATATTTTCAGTAATTTACATTAATGTAACATTTTTCTACGATAACATTTATAACACACACACACACACACATTCGGAGTTTAAATTTCTAATAAATAATTCAAGAATCAAATATTTTATTAAACCTCTAATTATTCGTTAAAGCGTACATTTTTCTCTTTCACATCTTGTGCATCAACAACTTTTTCAATTCCTACTATTAGTTCACTCTCACCTCATATACTTATATTTATATCTTTTTCAAATTTTCAATCGCGCGTGTTAATAACATACTTTTTATTCATTCACTCAAGTTCAAATACATTGTTTTAAACTTGTAGTGGATGACATTTGCTTTTCATACAGTTCTTTCAAATATTAATTCAATAAATCTATTTAATTAATGAATAAGTCGTAACAGACACAAATAATAGTCCAACAACATAAACAAAATGAAAATCACTCGTTGTGTCCCTGTAGCGCAATGGATAGCACGTTAAACTTATAATCCAAAAGTCGTGATTTTAAATGTCATCTGGGATGGCCTAATTTTTGAGAATTTGATTTCCTTTTTACTAAACTAATTTATTAGAATAATTAAATTTTATGAATAAATAAATAGTAATAAACCGAAAAAAAGTCCAACACCATATATAGAAAAGAAAATGGAAAATTGCTTTCTATTTTGTCACTTAATATTGTAATTCTGTCTTATGTATATACATATTTATATTAATTGTAACTATTTAATAAAAAAAACTAAAATAAAATTTTCCTTTGTTAACCTAAGTAGGAATTCACTTAATTTTTATGTATATATATATATATATATATATATATATATTACTTGTTTAGAAATAAGTACAAAGTTGGATTCGTAAGCTTTATCACTTATAATAGAATTTTTGGACAATGGCAATATTTTTATATATTACAGTTGAACTGTTAATCTCTCTACAGTGAACCTTTGCGGAACAGTTTCTAATTATACAGATACCATCAATTCTACGAAGCTTTCCATGTTCGTTCATGGCAGAAATCAGTTACCTTCCACAAAAATAGGACAAAGGAAAAGTGTAGGCTGGGTTCTTGAGTTTGAACACGTAATATAGGAGAACAAAGGAAATCCACCGATTCCTCCAGATGAATGAACAATACTGTCATCAAGAAGGGAGCTGTGGAAAAGGCAGAGATTTTACACATCCTTTGACCGCCGGAAAGAACAATAATCACTCCAAGGATGGATGAATTCGAATTCATATTGAAAAGCTACACAAGCGGGGGAAAATAGTCACATTGTTTGAAAAACTATAGTGACATGGAGGTTTCGAGCAAGACAGAGCGATTCGCGAAGTTCATCTTTGAAATTAATCGGACGATGACATTGTGCCTTCATCGCGCGTTTCTAGTTTCTTTTCACTACTTTTTTATTTGTTTACAAGCGCACGCAGGTGTGTATTTTTATCTGCTAACAAGAAACAAGTGATATAAAAAAATTATTTTAAAGTAAATTCCTACTTAGGTAAAAAAATATTATTTTAGTTACTTTTTATTAAATAGCTACAATTAATATAAGTATGTATAAATACATATGGCAGAATCAAAATATTAAGTGACAAAATAGATAGCGATTTTCCTTGCAATTTTTATTTCCCTTTCCATATATGGCGCTGGATTGTTATTTTTGTTTGTTTTATTTGTTCATGTTGTTAATTTAATTATTCGAATAAAATAGCATAGTAAAAAAAATATCACTTTCTCAGAAATTCGGCCTTCTCAGGTGGGATTCGAAAAAAAGACCTTTGGATTAGAAATCCATTGATTTACACGAAGGGTGATTTTCCTTCTTATATGCAGTGTTGGACTATATTATTGTGTGTTAATATTTATTCATTAATTAAATAGAATTAATGAATTAGTATTTGAGAAAACAGCATTAACATCAAGTGTCATCCCCTATAAGTTTTAAAAAATGTATTTGAACTTGAATAGATGAATAAAAAGTATTTTAATAAGAATTAAAATGTGCACAATGTATATATATTAATCTATAAATCTATATTTATAGAAATGGATGTTTTTGTATATATGAAATCGCCTCAATCCACACAACGCCGTTCAATCGATCACTATGAAAATTGGCATGTACACTCAGGAACATTTAAAATAGCGATCCAAGAAGAAAGCATCGGATTGAAATGAAATTTAATACACATAATGACACAGATGAGAGATTCACTTGATCTCAAAAACAAGACAATTAAACGAATACAGGGTGTGCAACGACACAAATACTGGGCAATTTCAATTGTGCGTTGGACCACCTCCAGCTGCAATACATGCCACCACACGGTCCGGCATTGAGTTGACTAGACACCTTATGTTGTCCTGAGGCAGATGGGCCCACAAATCGTGAACAGCCAACTCTAAATCATGTACAGAGTGACACGATGGCATCTGCCGTTTCAGCTGATCCCACACATGCCATACAGGGGACAAATCGGGGAAGCGGGATGGTCATGGAAGAGTCTGAAAATGACGTAGAAAGTCTTGATCAACTCTTGATGTTTGTGGACGAGCATTATCTGGCTGGAAAATTGCCCCTGGGAGACCATTTAGGAAAGGTCCTACATGGGGTCGAAGAATATCATCAACATAACGTTGGCTCGTTAAGGTTCCCCGCATCACAATTAAAGTGGACCGGTTATCATAGGCTATGCCCCTCCCAGACCATTACACCAGCTGTGCGGGCAGTGTGACGTAGAACAGTGTGGGGGAAATTGTACCGCTCACCAGGGCACCTCCACACCCGTACACGGTTATCATCTGTCCCCCCAAAAAACCGGGATTCATCACTAAACACAACCTTTTGCCAACCTGTGACATTCCACATTGATCTGGCTTGGCACCGCTGTGGATGCAGTTGCTGATGTTCCGGTGTTAAAGGGAGTGCACGGAAAGGGCGCTTGGATTTAAGATTTGCTTCTGCAAGGTGTCTGGATATTGCTTGTGGAACAATTGCTACGCCTAAGTCTCCTCGTATCGTTGAACGAGTCACTCTGTGGTTCACAAGTGCTTGCCACACGATCCTTCGATCCTCTCTCCTCGTGGTCTTCCTGGTCGCTCCAGACCCAGTTTTCCGCGCGTGGGTACATTCTCGTGTCCACTGCTCCCAACAATTTCTAACGGCACACTCCGAACGATCCACCTGGCCAGCAACACGGTGCGTCGACCAGCCTGCAATTTTTATCCCGCTGATCAGGCCTCTCTCAAACTCGCTTAACTGTAAGAAATGTCTTCTAGCACGTTTACCTGGCATGTTTCGCTTTCCAAAGTCTTCCTACAATCGGCGGGTAATCGTCACGTTTATGAATCTTCGAATTTGCGCTGGCTTATGTAGCACCCTCTTCCTGATTGTAGCGCCACCTCGGCCTGTATGAGCATGCGCATTGGCACAAAACTTCCAATCATTTGCATGTCACATTACGCTGTACTTATTTGCAAAGTTTCGCGATTGTACTTAGCTTCCTTCTTGGGTCGCTATTTTCAATGTTCGTGAGTGTATATGTATTTTTTTTCTGGAAAAGGTATTTGTGCTATTCTCTTTGTTGCTGCTCTCCACCAGGTGGCGCTACGGTATATCAACTTATGCCGCATTCAATCAATCGTCATGTTGCCAACATGGTTGAAAAAATAATGTCAACTTGGCTCTATCGCCAATATTTCGCTATGTTTCTATTGAATCGCCATTATAATGTGAGGAACGACGTTTCTTGCGAATATTTCAAATTTAACATAAAATAAATACAACAGAAAGTAATATTAACGTATTACTCTTCCTGATATAAGTTATTTACACTATTTTAAGCGCTCATTACGCAAAATGTGTAACTTTTGCTGAGGAGATATCAGCTTAGGAAGGTGCGACAGCGAGAGTTACGGGAGTTATAAATAATAAAGAACCCCCATTTTTTTATCAGCTATAGTATCTACAGACTTAAAATTTAAAAAATAACAGTTTTTTATTCAACTTAGTTATGCAAAACCTTTTTTTTTTTGTTTAATTTGCAATTCAAGTAAAATTAACTCATTAAAACTACTTTATCCTTCAATCTGTATTGTTTATTTTTTTAACTCGCCGGTGCGAAGAACGGGTATACCAGTTAGCAAATATATATATAGTAAAGAGTGTGAACTATATATATATATACTATATATAATAGTAGGAATTGAAAAAACAAAAAATGATCTCATTTTTTAAAAACGAAATTTTTTGTGGGAGGGAAGAAAGTCTTGTGCTACGATACAAATTGCATTAAGAATTTCATACTTAATGATTAAAAAAATTACACAGTAAGTTGAATAAGAATATTATTTCATTTTATTATCATTATATTAACATTATAACCTATTTCTTCCATTCTTGATCATTGTTATCCAAATTTTAACAATTTCAGTTAAGCCTGGCATTGACTTCAATGATTCATATTTCATTTCTCTAATTTACTTACAGTAACGTCTTATTATTGTTATTAAGTATTTTATTCTTTTATCGATAGAATTTATTAATTAGTATTATATTATTGTATTGTCATCCAAAAAAAATCCTGTATATAAAATTTCAGCTCAATTGAGCGCTTTAAAATGTATTTTATTAAAGATTGAAAATTCCACCAAGATAAATAAATAAATATATAGAGATTGTGAGCTAATAGTAGGAATTGAAATAACTGTTGTTGATGCTAATGGCACCTGTCTGACGTAGTCAGATCGAGGCCCACGAAATTCATCGCGGTGAAGGGCTAGAATTTTATGCTTGTCGTTAGTCTTAGATTTGAGCACTATACAATTGACAGTATGATTTAGCTCGGTTCCAGCCCAATTTTGTGGGAGAATACTCTGGGGGAGCGTCAGGAGCCTCCCCCCTCTCATCCACTGCCACAAACCTCACGAGAGAACTTGTGGCTCGACGACTACTTAAAGTACCCCCATACCGTGAAGGCACTATAAATTTACAAACATCCATGTCTTATCCGGGATTCGAACCGTCAGCGTCGCTAGCCACTATACCGGATGGACGACACTTAAAAATTCCTATTTTTTTTCCAGCTTTAACACTTGATGAATGATATACAATTTTAATGCTTAACTCTGGGAGCAATCTTAAATCCTAATAGCTTAATCTAACTTGTAAGATGATTCAAAATAACTTAGCTTAAGTCTGAACTTATTATGATCATCCTTCTCAAATCACGATAACTCGCCAGCTCTAACGCTATTCCGTCCTCAACTCCAGTGTGGATTGATTCTAAGATAAATACTATTTTCAGGCCGCGCAATTTGACAGTCGCAATTCACTTTCTACTTTTCTTAGATTTCACGATTAACTCTCAAACCCAAGGATCAGGGTTTATATAGTATTTACATTTGTATAAAACAAATCATCTCTACCGAATGGGATTTTTAAACTAAAATCACAGTTAAAGAATAGTTTCCTCAAAATGATTAGCTGAAAATCCTGAATAGAAAGCGTTACAAAAGTT